ATTAGACGTCAATCATTCTTAATTTATGTCATATACTAACATACCAAATCTCGTTTTTTATCAGAAAAAATAAAAAAGTTATAGGGGTGAACCACTCTTGAGAAACACCCGGTATATTATGATCGTGGCCCTAGAAAAATAATACCTTCTCGATAAATAAATAATATCAGAAAGAAAATGCAGTTTATTATAAAATGCTTCAACAGACCACAAAATTACATTCGCAACAATATCGTAAATCGCCACCGCCAATCCACCACCCCCTCCATACAAGGCCATTCAACCTTTTCCAATATGGCGGAGATAGAAGTGCTTGATTTGGCGCGTATTTTAAACCGTTTTATTTCCAAATAGACATTTTTCACACAAATGTCGGGTTAGATTACGTAATATTTCACTAATTTTTTTAATATACAGGGAGTCTAAAGTTCTCCACAGAAGTATGGAATTTTTTGTATTATTACTTTTATGAAAACATCAGTTAGTTACTTTTTATAAAAAGGTCTGCTTTCTCAGAAAATAGATAGTGTTAAAATATTCGATATAACTTGGGAGGTAGGATATATAGGGTGTTCAAAATCATCGGAAAAAGAAATTACCAGAAATATATGACAGAAATAGCAATATAAACTAAATATTCAATTGCAAACACCTACCATAGTTTAGAATTTACTGAACGTTTGATAAATATATACTACCGTATGATCGAAAAAAAACGGCGTCCAGTTGGCTTGGAAATGAACATCGATAATATTTCCCATATAATTTTACATATAAAATGACAGCGATCTTCATTTCATAGCCATCGCTGACGCCCTTTTTATTCGATCATACGGTATTATGGACAGTTTAGGGTTCAGGGAGAGACAAAATTAGGGTGCTGTAGAAATGCCTATTTTGTAAATCAATATGCTTTTATAAGGTGGTATTATGGAGAATATAATACATTTGCACATACCTTTTTTAGCCTCGGTACCTCCAAAGGTACATCTAATACTTCACATGTTATGTCATAAAATTTTGTACTCCTTTCAATTTCTTCATCGCGAAAATGTAATTCACATACCTATATTTAATCATAATTTAAGTTTGATGGCCTTTTTGAGGCATATTTAATGCACTTCTTACCCGAGAACTACTAGTAGGAGTGAAATTATCTCTTTTAATAGCTGTCAACCATTCTTTTACGAAGCTCTATAGTTCTATAGGCATATAATAGTTCTACAGGCTCTATAGTTCTATAGGCTCTATAGCTCTATAGGCATATAAAAGCAAAAACTTTGGGACCCCTTCTATAATTCCCGTGACAATTTGGAACAGAGCATGTAAAAGGCATGCTACAATAAAATGTTAACCCTTTAATACCTATCTTTTGATTATTGTAAGTAACCATTATAAAGTACTATGCAGACTGGCTGTGAAGGCTTTTTACTCATTTAGGTGTAATATCTTGATAAATACTTCTAGTTCTTACCTTAAAATAATTAATAATACAGGAGTACGACAAGCACATAAGTTTGAAGTTCCCTATGTGGAATGTCTGGTTTGGATTTTTATTATAACAATTTTCTGATCACACCATGCACTGAACACTAAGAACTAAACAAACGTGTTGCAGAAGCACAACAAACTAGAGATAATTAGTTATTTCTGGTATGCAATCGGAACGAGAAACCACTACCGGCTTTTCAGGTTAAAGATAAACAATTTAAAAATGCGCTGCCTTCGCCGCCATATTTGCGTTGCACATATCATGTTGATTGGCCTTGAGTGGAGGGGGTGATGGCCAATCGCAGGTTTCGATTGTGACTTAAAAATCGCTGCGATTGAATCACAGATCGCGATTTTTTGCTCATCTCTACCTGAGAGTCAGGCCCTTTAAAACATAAGGTAAAACGTTATGTGTAAACGAGGCTTAATACACTAACAGAACGCCACTCGTACATGTGACATTCCTTATCATATCTCCTTATTTTTTCCTTTTTATTGTATTAACTAGAAATATCTATCTTATCAGATCCGAGATCTTACTCACACAAATAATATCGTCAAATTTGTAACATAATGCTTCAGAATCTATTTATCCAGTTATAATATTTTTGGACTTGTGGGTGCGGTGTGATGCAAAATATAAAATATAAAGAAAAAACGGTGTAGAGTGAGTGTTAAAAACGATGACAGAAACTAGTTTAGATGAACGGAACAATAACGTGTTGAAGATGGAGGGTGTGACGGAAGACGAAACGTCGGATTTTTCGGGAGTTTTCGAGAGGACTTCGAGTATAGAGAGTGCTGGCGATGACAGTGATATTATTAATAGTTTTATGCAGACATCTTGCGAAGAAGTAAGTCGAACAATTTAAGAAAACATGTAAATTAATAATTTTTTTTCGATAAAACTTTGAAGACTGACAAAATCAAAGGCAAAAAACAATTTTCATAAAATCTTTATTGTAGAAGACTATTTTGTACGTATAATAATAATTATAAAATATACCGGCTAAGAGATACAGGGTGGTTATTTTTTGCAAGTTTATTTTGACAATAATTAGAAAGAAATCTATAGACATTTTCAAAGAAACTTTTTTATAGTCTGTCCAACGAGAGGTTTCCTGACAGTGACTGTCTTTGTCTGTCATTTTAGTTCACAGACAAATTATGTTTTCTGTCATTTTTTGGATGTCATATGTCAAAATATTCCCTGACTCGCTGGACAGTCTTATCTTTTGTTGTTCACTATAGATGTATTTCATATCTTCCTTTGTTTTATTGCTATTTCAACAAGTGCATCAGAAAAGAAACAATGTAATATATGGTATTAATCAATTTTTGGTTGAATTAAAAATGTTTTTAATTATTATATTTAATGCTATAGTTCCTTCGGAATCCAATTAATTTTTTATCAGTAATTTATTTTTTTATTTTTGAAATACTTCCATAGAATACTTCATAGTTTTCAAAATGTTTAATGTTGCTATGGCAACGTATTACATTTAGGTATGTGATAAAAAAAAACATATTTTTGTTCAAACGTCACAAAAGTATTAATTTTTGTGATGCGATTGACAATATAAAAAGTCATTTTAACGCCTAGGCATAAAAGTAAAGCACTTTTACGCCTAAACATAAAAGTACGAAAATATATTATTAAACTGACACAAAGTGTCAAATTCAACGAGCGTAACCATAGTTTCTCGATATAGTATGTATCATTACATACAAGGTATGACTATTAAATCTTTTTATATTATTTGGAACGTTTCATATTGTTTAAAAACTTATTTGTGGCGTTTGAAAAAAAATGGAACGTTCTATTCGGAGTAAAAATGACTTTTTGTGCCTCAGCTGTATGCCAAAGCAAACGTACAGCCTCACCTCAAAAAGGGTCATTTTTACTTCTAATAAAACCATATACTATTTTTGCAAAGAAATAAAAGCAAATTTTGTAATTATTTTATCAAAGTATAATTTCTAAATAGGTGTAAGATATTTCTAAAATCTATATCAAGATAATTGATAAAAGTTGTTTATTTCTTTATACCACAAATACCCATTTAAAAATATGCGCAAATAACGTTTTCAACATATAAAATAATATATCATATTTTTACGTGAGGAATCTACCCACGAGAGATGGCACTTGTTCTTTGAAACATCCTGTATAAATATAAACTACTAATTTATCTTAAAGTATAAATATTCAGTAACATATGTTAAATTTCGAAACTATAGGAAAATTCTTGTGATCTCTACTATAAAAAAGCAATACAGAGACAATCTTACTGAATGCGGTATTGCCAAGAGAGAGAGAGAGAAGGGAAAATATTCTTAAGGAACTCTAGATTATACTGAACTATAGAATGTTCACCCATGGTTCAACGTCACGTCATATAGTGTCGAAGTCTCTCAGTTACTTGCCAACCAGATAAAAGAGGTTGATGACGTCATTACGGCATTTTGTAAATTATAGTCTGTCCAACAACAAGATCCTTGACAGTGATAGATGTCTGTCATTTTAATTTCAAAGTAGTTTATTTTATTTTACAAAGAAATAAGTTGGTACAACTGGAACGCATGGAAATTAATATATTTAAAATTTGACTGATAAGTGATTACTTCAAAATATTCAGAAAAAAAAACTGTATAAAACTGAAAAAATGTAATCGAGTTATTTTATTTAAAAAAAAAAAAACAGTTTTTTGACATTATTTTTCTGCAGTACTAAAATCCATTATTTACCTATCGTGTGATGTCGATATTTTATAGCTACTCCAGTAGTATATGTTTAGTACAAACTTTATTGATGGTAACCTTATTGGTGTATAAGACTTTCTGCCTGGGCAGCGAGTATTAACTATAAACTGTGCTCTGGGTCTACAGTTAATTTTCCCTCGATTTTTCCTCCACTTGACTTCAAAAGACACAAAACACACGTAATAACACGAATCAAAATGCATCATCTTCCAAAACGAAGGGTATTTGACATAAGTTGACACAAGATTATAACCTATAATTTGACAAGCCTCAAAAATCTATAGGCTAGTTCATACGCATCGGCGTCCGTTTGTCGTTCATCGTTCCGTCAAACCAATAAAATTGAAATATCATCTGTCATTTTTGAAATAAACCAATAAAACTGGTTAATAACAACAAGAGACGACGTATAACGGATTTATATTTAAACCCATCCATAGTTAACTTAAAAAATATTAGAAACTTTTTTTAGTAAAATAATTAGATTGGTATGGGACGTCATCTGCTTTTCTTCTGTCATCGTCTGTCCAAATCTTACCCATATCTTACCTGAGAAAAAAAACAGAGTATAAAACTATAAAAACTCGCAGTTTCTATTAAAAATAAGTTTGAATGCGGGTGTTTGAAGAAGGAGAAATATTCTTTAAGGGATGTTTTTAACATTAGTTTATGTTTGGTTAGTTTATTTTATTGTTTTAATTTGCTCATCTTATTCTAATAATTGTTCTTCTTCTCCTCTATTCCAGGCCGAAGCCAGACTATGGGCCAAACGCCAGGCCAGGGCCGAGGCGCGCGAGATCAGGATGCGCGAGCTGGAGCGCATCCAGCGCGAGCAGGAGGAGAACGCGGACCGCCAGTTCGACATGCTGGCGGCGGCCACCACCGAACCGCCCCCTCTGCGTGGGAGACCTTCTGCGGGTGCGGGGAGCGGTAGACACAGGCCTGCCTCGCGGAGGAGCTCGGAGGATTCGCTGGAGGACGGCGGCGGGGGAGGCGGAGGCAGTTTGAGGGAGCTGAGGGTGAGCAAACGAGGTTTAAGCTATTGGTTGCTTAAAGGAATTTTTTTTTTCCATAGCAACTGTTAAAATTGCCTTATATCTATCAAAAATAGTAGATAAAATAGTACTTTAACCGCAAGGGTAGATTAAATGATACTTTAACAGCGAGGATAGGTTAAAAACTTTATTTTTTTCTTCTGGCACGTTTTTTAATTGCTTCCATTTTTGAAAATTTTTGTATTCAGTTTCATAAGTTATTCGGGATTTAAATGGAAGTAGTTTGGATATGGCGTTTGTCGCCTCAGCCAGAATATCTGTTGGTAATTTACTTATTTCGTTTTGAGCCATTTCTGGCTCCAATTCAATCAGCAATCGACACGAAAGAGAATTAAAAAATATTGACTCAAAACTAACTAAAGAGACAGCTTTATTTATTTGTCAAATTACATAGAAACCAATGCCAACCCAGCACAATATTTTTTCTACTCTTAATAAATTCCTTGAAATAATAATTTCTGAATATTTTTTAAAACGTAACTCTCTATGGAAAAAATATTGTTTTATACACGACGATAAAATTGCGTTATGGTCTCCCGAAATTAATTCACTCGCGATTTCATCGCTCGTGAATTAACGACGATAAAATACCATTTTATCGTCTTGTATAAAAAATAACTATTAATTTATTTGAGATTAACGTTTTTTTGTATGGGGTAAGTTTTTAACCCTTTAGAGATTTTTTATCCAGTTCCAAGCTATAGTAGATTACTGTTAAGGTGCGTCCAGACCGCCCGCGCCAAGCTGCGCTGTGCGTTTGTCAAGGCGCAGCAACATCTGCGAACATAGTTCGGTCATTGCACGAGATACGTCCAAATAGACTGCTCCCAAAGCTGCTCTGTTCTGTAATATACATCCACTCGTCAGTGTTCCGTTCAGTTTGGTTATTAAAACCTCGTTAACTTTCAAGAATGGCTTCTTACTATTCTAATAGAATACGGCATTTAAGAAAACTTTGTGCAAAATTTTACAATTTCAGGGCATATAGTATGAAATTTTCACACACATATTCACCTCTAATATCATTCCCGAGGAGATGAATTTGTAAAAATCGCCTCTTATACTGCTCTAGTCACTAAAACGTATAACTTCATACTTCTAGACCATATGTACCGGGTGCGTCTCAAAAGTGGTTCACCCCCTATAACTTTTTATTTTTTTAGATGAAAAAACGAGATTTGGTATATGACATAAATTAGGATTGATTGACGTATTCAATTGTTTTTTATCACTTCCTGTTTAACTGGAAATGACTACAAGTTTTGATTTTTAAATGGCATCGTCGGTATATTTTTACTTTATTCGATAGAAAATTACATTATGAATAGAATGACATATCATATGTCAAAACACTTTTGACATTTTCGCTTAAAAAAATCGTATTTTAAATTTCAATCTAGAGTGCCATGGCTGTGTTAAAACACTAATTTGTAATCAAGGAGTCTGGGAAAAATAGAATTCATCGTCTAATGTTTTTCGTGTCTTGTCCTGGCCAGTTAAAAGATGCCCAAATCGTATTTTTAATCATATCTCAGTTTTTTCAAATTGGACAAGGGTGGCTCGTTAGCATATTTGGAAAAAAAAATTTCGAATAATTTGGTACCACACACTTGGTATTTCGAGTAAAATTGTCGTTATGTACCGCATGTTACAATTTCAAATAAACCATATGTGAAAATGTCAAAAGTTGTATATATGATACGTCATTCTATTCAGAGTGTCATTTTCTATCGCATAAAGAAAAAATACCGAGGGCGTCAGCTAAAAATCAAAACTTGTAGTCATTTCCGGTAAAACAGGAAGTGACCAAAAACAACTGAATACGTTAGTCTATCCTAATTTATGTCGTATACTAACATACCAAATCTCGTTTTTTTATTTGAAAATATAAATAAGATATAGAGGTGAGCCACTTTTGAGACGCACCCGGTATATGTATTTAAACACAATCTTATTTTATTTTTAATTACTTATTTTATTTTTAATCAATCACACTGGGTAGGTACCGGTCAAGATTTTGTCACACTTCCAACAAACACTACGACCACAAATTTATCATTAATCAACGCGAAAAAAACTCTCGTATACGATACTGTACATTTTTAATTAATAACTTTAAATTTTTGTTAAGAACTATGCAAGGTAACATTATATTAACTCATCTCGTGTTTCAGCATGAACTGAAAGAAGTAGAAGAAAAATTCCGGAAAGCTATGATAGCGAATGCCCAGCTGGACAACGACAAGACCTCTCAAACGTACCAATTAGAACTCCTCAAAGATAAGTAAGTAACGACAGTGATATAAGATATTTTACATAGAAACCATCATTGGTATTTGACTTATATAAGTGTTTAAAGTTAGTAATGGAGGGATTTTTCATAAATTTTTTGATTTGGTGTTTTCTTTAAAGGTTAGAAGAACTTGAAGAGGAACATTCCCAATTGAAAAGGGAGCACAGAGATAAATGTAGGGAACACGACCAACTCAAGAGGCTCTGCGCGCAGCTCAAAGACGACGTTTGCGCGTTGAAGTACGAACTGGACGAACGGGATAGGCTAATAGCAGAGAAAGGGCTAGTGTTGATAATCGGCGAACCCGGAGAAGACGGGGAACCACCCAAAAAAGCTTTGGTTCAAGCGGACAACGCTAAGTTGTTGGAGGAAGCAGGTGACGGTAGTTTAGGTAAGTGTGGTTGATATAAAGCTTGATTTTCATGTATCCGTTGTCCGACGATACGATATTAATTTTATTGGTTGAATTTAAAAACTTCGATTGGTTAGAAAATTACGCAGTTTTTAAATTTATTTCATTTTCATGCCTCCGTTCATTCGATATACGATTGGCGTCATTTTATATTTTCATTTCCATAACTATTTCGCTATTTTACTTATAGTTTAAGAGCTAGCAACGTTTTCGAGAGGGATTTTAAGAAAACTGGTTCTTTAATGTATCTTTTGCTATGCTATCCTGAAAAAAGTGCGGACTGTCTGGCTACCGGTAGACGTTGCGTTTACTACTGCGTATTATATCCATAGATTTAGTAAGAACAGATATCACATTAGACATTTTAACCCGATCAAACAATCGGAGGTTGACTACGTACTGTAAAAATCAACTGAGATAGAGAAGGCGACATTGCCGCATCTCAAATTTGCGCCTATTAAATATATTTCAATTATATTCAAACTGAGGAGAGTTTGATTTGCAGAAAAGGTGACTTTAAAACCTTCACCGGATATCAATAAACCTCAATTTCTTAATTAAATTAATAGTTTATTTTTAAAGAAGCATGCGTAATAATATGTTATTAACCAGAAGATATATGCGTTACTATTAAAGGACATGTTTACTGTTTAATGTGCTGAAACGTCTAGAACTATTGGCAACGTCGCTGCTAGTCTTCCAGAATGAAATGAGCCGTCCGTCCCACCTCCCCTCGCGACGGCCCTTGGTCCGTTATAGCGTACTACGTTTAGCTTGCGGTGTGTTTGAAGTCGGAATCAAGACGAAAGTGAACTTTCAGTGTTTTTCGGTGGTTTTTGTTTTTGTTTAACATACTTTTGAATCTGCGAATTCAGTATGGTACGACAGTGTCAAGTGTGTGGAAAAATAAGCTCAAATTACTCCAATTTGTCTTTTCACAGGTGGGTATTGTTTTCGTCATTGTACATAGTTGCCGGGGTCGGAAATTTTAGACTTCTCTGTCTCTTCTGCCCTTGTTTGATACATTGGAATGTTTGATACACTACCAACGAGTATTTATGAATGAGATGTTCGGTCTATCTTTATAATGTCTTTGATTATATCTGTATTCAACATCTGTTTACTACTGCGCATCACAAATTCGCCCTGTATTTCTGGAACTAAGGAGGCTAGGACAAACCTATGTGTAGCATATTTAGTTTCATAAAAAAGTAATGTGAAAATCGCATCATTATTGTATCTTACTCATAAACGAGGAATCCCATAAAACACGCGAAAATACCTTGCACAGATGTGATGCGCAGTAGTGAACCGCAGTAGTCTACCGACAGCCAGACGGCCCGCACTTTAGTCAGGAAAGCATAGCAAAAGATACATTAAAGAACCAGATTACTTAAAATTCTCGTTTTTCCGACGTTGCTAGCTCTTGTACTATTATATTTTTATTAAGATTAGATTAAACTTGTCAAAAAAGTGTCAAAACGTCCGTTACCGTACGATCTTTCTCCGTTGACGGGCTAGAGTAAAAAAAAATTATTGATGAAAAGTGGCTCGAAAACGCCATGACCATGGACGCATGGAAATCAAGCTTACTCCCAGACGGTGGTTGGTGGCCACTGTTCATAAATATTAATATTAATATAATTTTGCTTTTATTTCAGATGTACGATTAGCCAAATTCGCGAAAGAAAAGATAGATCTGCAAGATCAAATTAGTAGTTTAAAATTAAAAATAGAAGAGGAAAGAAATAGACGGCGGAAGTCCAGTTCTAGCGGATTATTAAATGGACCTTCATCGGACTATGATCTGGACGACCTACAGAGTAAGTAAAGTAACCTTATTAGAAGAGTTATAGTTCTAACAACTGCAATATAGCCTCCATACGCCCATGTTTATAATATTGTTACGGATTCCGTGGGTCTACTAATTTAAACTCACGATAAAATACTTAACGAATTTATTTTTTTTTTCTCACTCTGTACACACAACTTACACTATTTACAACACAATTTATGCAACTACTATTACTCTAACAGTACTGGCACCTTCCCCAATTAATTCACAAGTTAAAGCGCGGTATTATCAAACTTCAGACTGCCAACTGCCAAAGCGCGGGCCTTTATATACCCCCTGGCGAGTGTTTCTGGAACGTTCTAAAGAATTCTGTAATTTTATTTTACTTTCTGGCGAATTCGCCAGGTTCCTCAATGCACGTTGCGGTTATGTAGCAGTAATGCAGTTATGCAACCAGTAATACAGTTTAGCGCTACATACCCTTGACAATATTACCCTTATTATTTTCAAATAACTATTTTTGAAGCTTTTTTCTAAAATTCACAATAATTTCACTGAAATTCAAGTCCCGGCACAATGTATTTCCAGATGTATACAGTTTGCATAAAACCAGTTTTAAAAGAAACAAGGAATAATGTAAAATACACGTGAAATAGTATACCAGAGTCGCAAAAATTCAAATTTCACGACTTACAGCTTAACGTTTGAATACCGGGTGCGCCTCAAAAGTGGCTCGCGCCTATAACTTTTTTATTTTCTCAGATAAAAACGAGATTTGGTATGTTAGTAATGACAGATAGATTGACGTATTCAATTGTTTTGGGTCACTTCCTGTTTCACCGGAAACGATTACAACTTTTGATTTTTAAATGACATACTGGATATTTTTTTACTTTATTCAATAGAAAATGACACTCTAAATAGAATGTCATATCATATGTCAACTTTTCACATTTTTGCATATTTGAAATTGTAACATGCGGATTATAACGACAATTTGACTCGAAATACCAAGAGTGTGCTTTTTGTGTGAAAAAAATGCTTTTTCCAAATATGCTAATGAGCCCTTGTTCCATTTAAAAAAATTGAGATATGATTAAAAATACGATTTGGGCATCTTTTAACCAGTCAGGACAAGACACGAAAAACTTAGACAATCAAATCTATTTTTCCAAGGATCCTTGATTAAAAATTAGTGTTTTTAACAGATCCATGGCACTCTAGATTGAAATTTAAAATACGATTATTTTTAAGCGAAAATGTCAAAAGTTGATATATGATATGTCATTTTATTCAGAGTGTCATTTTCTATTGAATAAAGTAAAAATACATATACCGAGGGTGCCATTTAAAAATCAAAAGTTGTAGTCATTTCCGGTGAAACAGGAAGTGATCAAAAACAATTGAATACGTCAATCAATCCTAATTTATGTCCTTTACTAACATACCAAATCTCGTTTATTTATCTGACAAAATATAAAAGTTATAGGGGTGAGCCACTTTTGAGACGCCCCGGTATACAACAATATTAAGCATTCGTTTTCTTTAAATTTCAGGAGAAGCCAGTAAACAATTGGCCGACTATAAATTTAGGGCGCAGAAAGCGGAACAAGACGTGGCAACGTTGCAAGCCACCGTTGCCAGGTTGGAGAGTCAGGTGATCAGGTACAAAACGGCTGCCGAAGTGTCGGAACAGTCGGAGGAGGCGTTGAAATCTGAAAAAAGAAAGTTGCAACGAGAGGTAAGTCGTATTCTTCTTTTTCTATCTTTGTCCATGTAAATGTAGAATCATAGTTTATATTTTAAGTGTTGCCATACTTACATAATATTTTTTGTTTAAATAATTATTGGTACATAGTTTTGCTTTTACTAACAAGTAGTTACCTTTTCTTTCAGGCTTATTTTTTACGCTTTTTATTTCTTTTTTTTGCACATTTTTTCTTTTCTTTTGCAGGATAGTGAATAATTTTTAGTCTGCTCTATTCACAGATGTTTTTTAATTTTTCGATTTTTAACGGTAAATATTATTAAAAAAATATTTACTTTATGTGCTTTGTGCTTTTTTATTTGTTGATTTAATAAAAATAAACTATTTCAGAAATTTATGTTGTTTAGTCAGGTTATGTTTTACCAGTTTTTTAAATAACTTTATTTTGAAATAATTTGAAAAAATGGGAATAGTTTTGTATATGTTTTAAATTTAAGGTAATATTTTATACAATCTAACAATGCAAATATTATTCTTAAGAAACCTTCTGAAGAACTCGTCCCTATTCCATAATACACTTCCAAACATATCTTCGAAAAAAAAAACGGCGTCAGAGTAGGCTTGGAAAATTGTATTTGTCATTTCCAAAGCCAATTTGACGGCGTTTTTTTTTCAATCATACAGTACTTGTAATGATGTATGTAGGTCAGCAACTTGTCTCAAAAAATAATGCTGTTAGAAGCTTCGACCACTGCTCTGAAACAGCAACAGAAACGATTGTACCAACGAACCACTACGGGTTCGGTATTTTAGTAAACCTGCAGACGTCCTTAGTCACACTTAGCTGTTGTGTAACGTACTTATTTTCTATCTACGTGTTTCTAATCGTATTTTAACAACGTAACTTCATGTTTAATATTTTCTTTTTTAACTTTTATTATTGTTAATAATACGCTTTATGAATTTCAACCAAAATGGCAGCAAGCTAACAAATTTATACTTATTTTTTGACAAGTTAACTGTCACTAAACGATTAACACAGTTAATTTTGCTATAAATGAAGATTCTTTTTTTACAAATGATTAGACTCATAAGAGTCTAATCATTTGTATTTCTACATTTTAAATCAAATTAGATGTTATTTTTTAGAACTAAACATTTTTTTCAAATTTTACCAAATTACATGTTATTTTTGTTGCTTAATCTTATCACTTGTTTTATAAATGTTATTTTACAACGTGTTCTTGCAAATCCTAATATGTATGTTCCATCAAACAACAAACACCCTACATACCTTTTAGTTCAGTCATTGGGGATCAAAAAAGGGGCCTGCTTGGAAAAAAGTCGGGAAGTTTTGAAACTTTGCAGATTTATAAGTTTTGGGGTCCCTAACTAAAATCCATAAAATGCACATTTCCAGACTTGCCGCCGGCGCCGCCATCTTGCCAAGATGGCGCTCAAAATCGGTATTTTGTAAATATCTCGAAAACTATGCGTTTTTCGCAAATATTTAAAGAGAGCAAAATTAAAGAGAATAAAATTTTCTATAAAAAAGGTTATATGAAAATTTTCGCTAAAGTCAACCGTTTAGGCACAAAATCCCTGGAATTTTTACAATTTTGCGTAAAGTATGATATACAAAATATAGTCGATTTTCCGAAATCAAATGTCGATTAGTGTTCACTAAAACTAGTTTTAGTTTAGTTTCTTCAATTTTGTCATGAAACAGTGGCGTATCATTAATTCGCTCATTAATTTATGAATAATTAATTGTCGTGCTGGACAGCATTCATTGCGAACTTACCACCAGGTTCAGCATTGGTCTGGTTGTACCAAAGATGCCGAAGAATGAGGTTAGAAGAAAGCAATAACAGGCATTACTCCAGTCACAACGTTGAAAGATCCAGCTCCAAAATTCCTATTGGCATTTTTATCCTGTAAATGCAAAACCAACAACTATGGTAAAGCCCGCGGATGCAAAAAAGCAGGATTAAAATGTTCAATGATAAGTGCATACTGCAATGGGAAATCCTGTGACAACGTCACTGAAGTGTCATTTGACGAATCCGATGAAGAGGAGTTGGGCTTCCCTGTAGATATCCCTCTGGCGGCTGAAGATGAAGAGTTGGACGTATTGAGAGACCACCCTGATGAGCCCAGCACAGCAGACACGATTGACTTTGACATCAAAGAGCCAGATCCGTCGGGCTTGTGCAAATAAGTTAAAGTTTTAAATTTATCTAGTGGAGAAGGCCTCCGGGGAGACCACGTTAAAATAAACGCGCCATATACTTTACCTCTTGGGTGGTGTGGAAACAAGTACACATTTTCAATAATTAAAATTAATTATTCATAAATTAATGAGCGAATTAATGATACGCCACTGTTTTATGACAAAATTGAAGAAACTAAACTAAAACTAGTTTTGGTGATCCCTAATCGACATTCGATTTCGGAAATTCGACTATACATAATATATTTTACGCGAAATTGTAAAATTTCTCTAGGGATTTTGTGCCTAAACGGTTGACTTGGGCGAAAATTTTTATAAAACCTTTTTTATCGGAAATTTTATTTTCTTTTATTTTGCTCTCCTCAAATTTTCGCGAAAAACGCATAGTTTTAGAGATATTCACAAAATACCGATTTTGAGCGCCATCTTGGCAATGTGGCGGCGCCGGCGGCAAGTCTGGAAATGTGCATTTTATGGATTTTAGTTAGGGACCCCAAAACCTATAAACCTGCAAAGTTGCAAAACTTCCGGACTTTTTTCGAAGCAAAAATCCCCAATGACTGAACTATTTCCCAAATCCATTTTTTGTGCTTTAAAATCTGTTTTATTTTACAATTACTTATATTTTTATTTATTTCCTATTTTTTTTAGGCTAGAGAAGCTCAAAACAGGGCAGAAGAACTAGAAACGTCCAACACTCACTTGCTGAAACGACTGGACAAGTTAAAAAATGCCAAATCGGCACTTTTGAAAGAACTTTGACAGCCGTTGAAGCGCTGAGATCGACATTTATTTAAAAATATTCCGTTAGATTCCGCAAAATATCGTGACAAGAATGTATAATTTGTACTTTAATTTTTTTTATATTTTTCATCGAAAAAATAAACTTACTCAGAAGAAAAAACGTCTTCGCGAACAGAAGATTATTTTTATTGATATAATTATTATTATTACAGGGAAGACTTCAATGTGTGTTGTAATAGAAAGTTACTATTAGAATTTTTTTAATTGAGATTTGTATATAAAAAACGTTTTTTTTTTTCAAAGTCACAAAACTGAATAAAGAAAGAAGAGCAAGTATTTTTCCAAGCGCATTGAAATGTAACGTCAAATTAAGTTGTTATGTAATAAATACTTTATTAATTACGAATTTTTGCTCTCCTAGACTCCTAGACATATAAACACTGACAAGGTTTCGCTTGCCAGTGCGGTATATCTTTTTGAATCGCCCTGTGTAATGATTACTGCAATGCAAAGAAGTCTTCTCTGTATTTTTGTTACCTATTAGTCAGTACTTTAACCCTAACTAAAATCTTTCCTTTTCTTTATTTATTTATATTCAAAGACAACCAAATAAAGGGAGACAAAACTATTTACGTTTTACAGCGGTCAAACATCGTTTTCAACAAAAAGCGATAATGCCAAATTTCTGCGGATTGCGTTAGATTTACGATTTGTGTTTGAAAACAAAGTATGTTATTATTTTTATTAATGGATGTTTGGGTATCTATAGAAAGTTTCTTCAAGTAGAAACGGCGTACTAAATACCGTATGATCGAAAAAAAACCGCGTCAGCGATGGCTGTTGAAATGAAGATTTCATATGTGATCATTTTATATGTAAATTTATATTGGAAATGTCCTAGATCGTCATTTCCCAGCCAACTGGACGCCGTTGTTTTTTCGATCATATGGTATATGTCTAGGTAAATCATTTTAGTTAAAATACATGGATTGTACCTTTGAAATTATTTATAGGAAAGTGTAACTGTGACAACGCTGCTCCAGGAATACTGTTATTACGGCAGCGTTGCCATATTTATATACCCATCTCTTTTTAACTCACATAAAAGTGTTAAAGTGTGTATGATCGTGAACAAAAATTGAGTTTAACGAATGGAGTGTATTGTCTCCCCTTTATTTAGATGTCTTTGTTTTTATCTGTGAATAGAATAAATTTTAACCAATTTTTCTTAACCAATACAATTTTTTTTCGATGCTTTATATACAATATTGCCATAATCAAAATGATAGAATAATCCTCGTTAGTACGAATACGCGTCTAATTTATTTCTTTAGGTTTGTAGGACTCCAAACTTCTCGTCCTGTATTTTTTCTCGTTTTTTTTGTAAATATTTTGTAAACTATTAATATTTAATTTTATTAAATTAGGGATTTTGATAGAAAACGTCCTCAGGATTTTTTCTCTAAACTTAAAATGCGTGTAATCGAATAAAAAAGGCGTCGCGGTAGGCGAAGGAGTCACATTTAAGTTTGAACTTTTGTTATATCCATCTTTGAAGAGTGATAGTTGATGGTGAGAGTTGAATTTGAATTTTTTGTTTGTTGAATAAAAAATTAAGCAACTTGACGTGACTTGTAACTTGACTTCCGGTTAGGCAGTGGCGTTCGACTTTTCAACATGTTAAAATGTTAAAAAATATACTTTAATAATGGTTTTTAAAACAAAATTAATTTTTGATTTAAGAAAGTTGTGTTAGTGGTTCAAACGCAGAAATAATAAAATCACAAATTTTATCACAGTTAAGAATTTTAGCGATATATACAGTAAACTTGGAACTAAAATATTATTTCTACGTCTACTCTGACGATGTTTTTATTCGATTACACGCTACTAGTTTGTTTATAAATAATATATAAATATAAAAGTGCTTTGAGACTTTTTATAACACGAAAATTAACATGCTATTAATAACTGATGTTAGGAAAAAGGTAGTTTTTTGGCTCAAAAATAAACAAAGTTGTGATTCGGCTCAAAAAGCGTAACACTTAGAAAAGTCAGGGATACATTTTTTAGATCTTTTTACATACATAGTTCGATATAACGTGCCACACTATTTAGTTTTTTTTTGCCTGACGTGAGTACAGTGCTTGATTGTTAGATTTCTTCATTTATTTATTTATATTAAATTTACAGGGTGTTAATAAAAAATAAAGTCAGTTAACTACTAACTAAATATGTATATACTACACCGAAAAAAATAAACTTTTATTTTGTTTACAAATAAATATATTCCATTGGAGCAGCGGAATTAGACACCCTGTATATGTTTGAAGAAATCTAACGATTTTTTTCTTGTGTAAAGCCAATTGGCTCCAGCCTTTTTACAAAATAAAAATAGAAAATAAAACGCTTCTGTTTAAAATTAATTTTCAGCTGAACAAGTAAGTGCCACTTGTTGCGGTACGACCCTGTAGTTTTGTATATATATGAAATATGTGATTTTTCTGTATACTTTACGATAATTGTTTTTTTTTTTGGTAAAAGGTACTTGAACAAAAATAAATATTAACTACTTTTTAAAATTGTGTGTTTTAATAGTTTACCTTACCGTATTTTATTAAGTGCATTGGCTATGTTTCTGATATGCTACCTTACCCATAATTTTAAATTATTAGACTTCGTAGTTTTGAAAAAAAATGCAAATTTAGTTATTAATAAATATATATTTGAAGACGTTTATAGTTAGTTTAGTTTAAATCGCTAAGTTTTTATCTAACAAATTTGTTGGAAAAACGGCAAGAAAAACACTAGTTACTAGTTAATAAAACTGATTTCTGGTTGAGTGACTTATCATGTTATTACACAATTTACAATCAGCCCTTCAATTATTCTTTAGAGATGTTGGCAGTATAATAAATATATTTACAAGCCAATATATAAGAATATTACTACTGTTATATAAATGCTTTTCTACCATAGACCGCAAACAACAGGAAAAACACAGCGAGCTCCTATACAGGGGGTTCCTTAATGAGATAAAATAAAACTTTATATGAATGTACCGGGTGTTACATCGTCGAGCGGGACATAGGAAATCCCATGTAAATTTTAATGGGGTCAATTATTGGCTTCCCTAATTATTTTAGAGAATAATTCTATTTAGGTTTATTACTAAAACCCACATTCAAAAGAATAACTTTAGATATTTTTGATTAGTCCGTTTACGGGTTATCGCCGATTTCTTTTTAAATATTTCTCCTTTCTTATGGCCCTGTATTTACTAATGAGCACCAGTCAAGGTAAAAGATAACTGTCAAATGAAGTTGTCATTTCAGAAATTTATCTATTTAGTGCTTTATTATTATTATTAAAAACTCATACCTATATCGAAAATATTAGCCATGAATTACACTACCGAAGAAAAAGTATTGATGATTAAATGGTATTATCAAGGAGATAGTTATCAAAAGGTGTCGGACATGTTTTTTGTATCCGAATAGACCGATACCTGGAAAATCTACAATGGCAAGGAATATCCAGAGATTTGAGACCAAAGGTACCCTAATAAATAACTGCAGATGTGAAGCAAGGCAGGAACAAAGAGAAGACGCAAGAAATGATACCGACTTGGAAGTTTTATTGTGCGTGGAAGAGAAATGGGCTGAAGTTGGCTGGGAAATGACGATCAATGACATTTTCCATATAAATTTACATATAAAATGACAGCGATCTTCATTTCATAGCCATCGTTGACGCCGTTTTTTCTCGATCATACGGTACTATTCCTTCAAATATGAAAAGCACCAAGAGCTACGAAATGGGGACGAAATACGGCGGCAGGCGTTTTGTTTTGATATGATGGAAAGAGCAAACACGGATAGGGAATTTTTAAAAAACATATGTTTCACTGACGAATGCACGTTTACCTTAAATAATGAACCCAATGTTCAAAATTATCGATATTGGAACAAAGAAAACCAACACAGGTTTGTCGAAACAGGGATGCAATATCCACAGAAAGTAAATGTTTGGGCAGGGATATTCAGACACAATATTATCGGGCCATTATTTCTTGCGCGAAATTTAAATGCAGAATATTATGAAATTAACTACTCGAAAATCATATTTTACCTGGTTTACATGATGCCGCTAGGGAAAATCAGGAAGTTTGGTACTAAATGGATGGCTGCCCGGCACATAATACCCTGGCTGTTCGGGAATATTTAGACAATAGTTTTAACGGAAACGTTATTGGCCTAAATCATACAGTAAATTGGCCAGCAAGGTCTCCTGATATTTCGCCAAATGATTTCATTCTCTGGTGCCATTTAAAAAACAGGATATACAAGGATAAAAAATACCCAAATCTAGACGAGATAAAAAATGCTATTTCTGCCGAATACAATAGAATTTCAGTTTACCAACTAACGAATGTAAGAAGAGAATTTTATGATCGCCTGGGTTATTGTCTGGTTATTGTCTAGCAGTCGATGGAGGAATATTTGAACATCTTAAATCCTAAAGTTCTAACAATTTAATAGTACCTAAATTAATAAGTTATTGAATATTGTAATAATACTATAATTAACCTTGTAATTGATTACTTTATTTTACTTTAATTCATATTAATTTGTATTTCTTTAAGATTTCCGATGTAGGAATGAGTTTTCAATAATAATAAAGCACTAAATAGGTAAATTTCTGAAATGACAACTTCATTTGACAGTTATCTTTTAGCTTGACTGGTGCTCATAAGTAAATACAGGGCCATAAGAAAGGAAAAATATTTAAAAAGAAATCGGGCGATTGATCGGCGATAACTCGTAAACGAGCTAATCAAAAATATCTAAAGTTATTCTTTTGAATGTGGGTTTTAGTGCTCTTCAATAAACCTAAATAGAATTATTCTCTAAAATAATTAGGGATGCCAATAATTGACCCCATTAAAATTTACACGGGATTTCCCATGTCCCGTCCGACGATGCAACACCCGCGGTATGTCCTACACATCTTAACTTTTTAGAAACAGGGTGGTAAAATTTTCTATTTTTTTTTCGAAATATCTCTGATGGTATATTTGATACAAGTCTTCCATGCATCAAAATGCTTATTTTGATATACAAAAAATAGTTTCATTTCTTAATTTCACACAACAGTCACCGCATCATATTTTCAGCTATTTGACCCTGAAATAAACGGACTTTAATTTTTTAAGCAGAAACTATGACAATGTTTAGAAATGTATGGAGATTTTGAAAAATATTTTTATTTTATTTTAAGAGAAGTCAGTGGTGTACCACTTTTTTCTCCAAAAATATTCAATGTAAAACCCGTATGAACGGCACTGGTTGAAATAAATAAAAGTCTTATTTGTACACCAAAAAAGGTATTTTAATGCATAGAAGACGTATGTATCAAGTTTCATAAAGATATCTATAATAAAATCAGAGTTATTATGAAAAAAAGTTTCCTTAGAATATGTTCAAGAATCACGCCCTTAAATATTAGCATGGCATTAAGGAACACCCTGTATGGTTTAAAATTGACTGTTGTTGACTTTGACGTTTTCAGTGACAAGGAGAACGAATTTAAAAATTTGTCGTAACTGTGGTCGTAACGAAAATGGTTCTTAAGAAAAACCGAGAAATATTCTTAAAAGAAATCAATGAGAAGGAGATAAAATATATTAAAGTATACGACGCCTATAGGAGAAACTATAACAGTAGATAATTAAATAATGTTTTGCCTAGGATAATACATAATTTCTAGTATATTTTAGAAACTACACAAACACCAAAGTTTTACTCTAAATATGAGGGCGAAGAAGCGGATATTGTCGACCCTGAGATTTTGAAAAACATCATGTTCATCAAAGATTCGGGTCCAAAGGACAAACTCGAGTGGCCAGAAACGGAAAATCAAAAGTAACAAAAATGCCAACAACTTCAACTAATTCAAATAATAAAGGCATTTTGAAAAAGCAATTAAAAGATAAAAACGCTACTAAGACTATCAAAATGTTGATCTAATAACAATTTGACGTTTATACTATTATGTCAAAAGCAACTATTTTCCAAAGCCTACATGACTTCACTGAGGCATCGTTTCTTGTTCACTCTTATTAATATCTTAATTATTAGATATTAATGCATCTGGTATTATGGTATCCTGGTGTATCGTCGATTTTAAAATAAACTAACTGTTTTTTATCTTTTGTTAGAATGGGTATAATCAAGAGGGCTACTGATACCGTGTTGTAAAAATAAGGTAATTAAGGGCTTATGTTTTGGTATCTATTATAATTTTGCTAATATCTTCGGTTTGAAAGGAGATATCAAGATGCGGTTTTCGCTGACTTTTTTCTTTCTCCAAATTTTCCAATGTTATTTGCCGAGAGTTAAAATAAATAACAACAATGGAGGAAGTTCGAAATTCTTTTAGTAAGCAATAAATCACTGAGACAGTCAAACAATGCACTGAGTCGATTCTTTCAGAACGTTGATGAGAAGACTACATTCTCCAAAAGTCTTCAAACAATGATAACACAATAGAATTCTCAGACGGTCACCCGTTCAAACAATCACCTCGTCCAAAGTCGCTTGATTTGAATTATTTAGAAGAAAAAAATAGTAATACACTCAGATGCAAAAAAAACGCAACGGAGAAAATTTTAGTCAAATTTAAAGCGTTATATTTTTGTTAATTTAAGCTCTATTTTCATGAATTTTTTAACAAGCTGTATATAATTATACCAACTTTATTTGGTAATCTCAGTTTTTTATAAACTTTAGTATTTGGCATATTATACAGGGTTAATCGAGGGGTTGGTTTTTTACCCAAACTTTGACACACCCTGTGCAATAATTTCGTTTGTAAATTTTCCTAAAATATAACTTTACGGTCAGAACCATGTCTCCAGAGCATTTTGTTTTTTGGATCATGACAATACATGCCTTGGTTAATTTTTAAGAGCGAAATGAACTTGCCACCAACAATTTCTAATTTTTTCAAATAAATTTCTTTTTAATGTTTTTTTCAATATGACACAGCAGCTTTCGTAATTATTGTGAACTATATACTACCTGTGATCTGTGATACTACTATGAACTGCCCATCATGTTCGACGTTTGGGAAATGCTTGGCAGGAGGGTTAGAAGTCGCGAAGCGTTACCAGCTTCAATAAGCTTCGTTGGTTCTTAAAGAAGAATCGAAAAACTTAACGCAATATGATATACGCAGCCTCAATGACAAGTATGAATGGACGTATACAGACAGTTATAGCAGCCAGGGGAGGCAATGCAAAGTATTAGGGTAATTTTTACAATTTTTTTTCTGTTTGTATACTTCAGTATTCAGATGTTTTCCTTAATATCGTTAGTTCTGTTATCGTTATTAATGTTTATTAAAACAAGAACTGTATATCGTTCGTCTTTAACGTTTTTTTTATTTAGTATAGAGTATCCGATGCAGCGTAATATGACGTTACGACAATAGTCACCAAAACTATCTCGTCATATAAAAAAATTACATCAAAAGTAATGATAATTGAAAAAATTGCAAATTGATCGTGATCAGTTCATTTCGCTCTCAAAAATTAACAAAAGCATGTATTGACATGATCCAAAAAATAAAATGCTCAGGAGCAGGGGCGGATACAGAAATTTATTTTAGGGGAAGGGGGCCAAAATAAAAAGCAATAGGGCTCCATTTTTAACCCAAAAGCCTAATATTTTACACAATTTACAGATTTAGGGGGGTGGGGGGGTGGCGGGCCCCATGGGATTCATGAAGATTCATGAAAATAGGGCTAAAAATAACAAAAATATAACTTTTAATTTGACCAAAAATTTCTCCGTTGCGTTTTTTTTGCATCTGCGTGTAGTTAAGTATTTTATCATATTTTAGATACGGTTGGTTCATTACGCCGTTGGTGGAAGTAGTCAAGTCCGATCCTAGGTTCTATTTTCCCAGAGTTGTCAATGAGATTACTAAGCATGGCCTGAAAATGTTACAGTGCAAGGCTGCCAACATAAGATAGCGATCTCTAAAAAATTGAAAAGTAATTTTTTGCTTTAAATCGCCCTATTTTGTAAATAATAATTCACGATTTATATTAAAAAATATATTTCCTAAAGTTGTTATTATTTAAATGATATAAAAATAGTCTAGGGGCTATAGCCTGTCCAACAGAAGGATCACAACCTGACACTGACAATAATTGTCTGTCAGTTCAAAAATAAAATGAAAATGATAGGTACTGAATATGTCGTATTATCGAAAAAAGTCGTCTAGTTGGCTTAGAAATGACGATTATTGACATTTACCATAATATTTTGCACATGAGATAACAGCGATCTTCATTTCCAAGCCAACTCTCGAGCTAAACTCAGAGACTAAAGAATCCAAAGACAAATAACACCCGAGAGCAAATTGTGCCGATGTCACCAAACAGTGCCGTGGCACATATTTTACTTAACCTAGCTGTTTGAAGCAATATTTATGTTTTTTGATAATTGTTTTGACTACGCCTATGGTGTATCATCCTAATTATTTACGAAAAAAACGTATTAAAATGTCAACAAAAGGTACAAAACTAGTATTGACGTATAGCGCATATCAAGTACATATAGATGTTAATTGAAATTGAAGAATAATTATCGGAATTCAATAAGAAAACGCTAAAAAGTTAGAGTGGACTGTTTATTTACCTATGAAACGTAACTCCTGGCTCTTTCTTATCGCTGCTGCTTTTACAACTGAAAGCTGAATAACTAATCACCATTTTAATAAAGTTTATACAAAGTTGTACAACCTGTTGTATACAAGTTGTATACTCATTGTTTGCCATCAAAAGAATGGCCGCTAAGGTCACAAATTCTGCTGCAGCCCGTATATGGGCGTTACATGTCCTTATATTCTTTAGTGATTGGCTAAACTAAATCTCCAGCTACATCTCTTACAGGTTTTGTGCCACGAAATTGCCCATAAGGTTGCGCATCTTCTTATTTCTTCAATCTCAATCAACATAATAACGTAATATGAAATAATAATAAAACAAACATCTTTTCTAATTATATATTTTCCTTCATAAAAAATACTTTTTTTTGTTCAGCATAAAACATTTTTTTTTCTAAAGTTATTATTTAACACGTATAAAAAAGGCACTTAAGATAGTTTACTGTAGTAAAACACAATAAATAAAACGTTTCTACTCTCATCATACACTCATCAACATTCTCTATTGCATCAGTTAAAAACAAAATAAAAAATTGCACAAATGAATTAATTGTCGTTATTTAAAATAGTCTTATAATTTGTTAGTATCTCCGTTTCTACGATGTTTCTTCTTGTTGTTTCTACCACAGTTAAACGCGAAAGCTAAACAAATCAACACGAAAAACACTAAATAGAACACTAGCATGGCAATAGGTACGTTCCCGTAGTCGAAAGTTTGGTTTTGTGACGTAAGATAGCCGTAGTTGAAGAGTACTTGGGTACCATTAGGTGGGGGACATGGTAGTTGGACAATTATGTCTTGATGTTGAACCTGAAACAAATTGTATATTAAAAAAATTATATGAAAATGCGATAAATTTTACATTGGTGAAACATCTAGACCCTTAAATGTTAGAATTAAAGAACAAGGAAGATTTTCACAAATCTAAGATTTGTCAGCATTCATGGAACACAGGGCACAGAATAAATTTTAATAACGCCAAAATTATAATGAAAGAAGCGATAGCCTCTAAAAGAAAAATAAAAGAGGCTTTTTTAATACAATCTAATAAAAATAAATGGTTTGCTCATGCATCTGTAGATGTTAGTAATGTATGGCAATCGCTTCTTTGATTTTAAAGAACATAGCATACGTAAAATTTAAAAATAATCATACAGAAAGTTTGGGCTTTTTGGTTTTACCTTATTAAGTAATTGTTATCAGGTAGTAATTGTTAATTTTGAAGTTTAACTTGATATAATGTCATTTTAACAGAACGTCAACGGTTTCTTGTAGAGGTATCTGTTTTAAAAAACTAAAGTGTTCTCGAATAGTTGAATTTAAATATTTTAAATAGTTTTTTCTTTATTCTTTGTATTTTTTTGCTTCTGACGACGGAAAGAGATAAACTTTCCGAAACGTTAAGCATTTTTTTCTTTGTTAGGCAAATTTGTATAACTGTAAACATAACTTCTGACAAGTAGTTTCCGTTTGGGTTTAACGCAGAAGTGTTTACAAAAAATAACTATTTTATTTTGTAGATTTTCTTGCAGTGCAGTGGCAAAATACCCATATAGGATTTTTTGGAGAAATTGTATATTACAAAACCTTGATACACCCAAAGAGATATGAAGTAAGGAGTACAATAACATAACAGTAATAAAAAAATCTTTGTTGCCCAAGCGAACAGAATGCAAGACAGAACTATATCTCAGGAATCCATTTTCACTGATAAAAATGTGCAGAAATTATTAGTGGGAACGTAGATTTAATAGGAGGGAAGAAGTTATGTCACCATTACACACTATGTGGTTGTAAATAAAGGTTAATTCGAATTTGTAATACAAATATATTATTCACCTGTTTATTTCGACATACTGGTGTCATCGAACTGCTTTCCAAAGCTTCTGGACTTAGTTCTCTGTTCAAGACGTACGGTAACAACCAAGATGTTGGACTTATGTATCGTATCCAGGAAATATAAGGTGCCATATCCCTAAAAATCAAAAATTAAGTAGTTATTAATATCTGTTTTTCTTTAAATTATTTTTAAACTGATTTTTTTATTTAATTTGTAATAGTTCTTTACCAGTTCTTACCTAAAATGTAACACATATCCTCCAACTAAAAAGAACGCTGTACATATAAATGAAGCTATAACTGCAGCTGTATTTGACACAGGAAGCAAGTAGACCATTGCTAAATGCACCGCCTGAAGGCAGCTCAAATATAGCAACATGACACCTAAAAAAATAATGAATAGGTATACATTTTTATGCAGGCTTGTCAAATCATTGCTTAAAATATTTTTGATAATGGGGGCTAGTCAACATATGAGTGGAAGTATTGATATGCTTTTGTACCTTTTTAGGAGTTTATCACATTAAAAATTTTAGTACTTATGAAATAGACGACTTTTTTGGCCCCACGTTGGGCGCCAAAAAAAACTAAATATTTCTTTTTACTGGGTTGTTAGAAGACTTAACTTGTCGGGCAAAGTTACTACGGTTTATCAAATAGTATTATCAACAATTCCTGATAAACTCAGGTCAAAAGCTACCGAATCGATTCACAAACGACAAAAATGTTGATTTGGTCTCTATTGACATTGAGCTGATTTTTTAGGATTTGTTGATTAAAGGATTAAAAAAAACATGGCAACTTTGTCCGAAAAAAAAATTTCCAATTTTCCAGTAGGACGAATCATTGTTTTTTTTGGCGCCCAACGTGAGGCCAAAAAAAGTCATCGATTTTATGATTACAGATGTAAAAAAGTGACTAAACCGTATCGAGAATAATCGTAGAGGTAAATTTTATAGATTCCTCATAATTAAATAACAAAAAAGTTACAAAAGTATTTCAATAATTCCATTTACCTATATTATGGATTAGCCCCCAGACCAATAAATATTTGAGTAATTTAGAATTAATCAAAAATGTAACAAATTACAAGCAATTAGAAATTTACATAAGATCATTAAAATCGGTAAATGTAAAGACAGTATGAACATAAATAATGGTCCTAAACCTATATGTTCTCTGAAGGTTTTTCTGTTGTGTATTGTGATTGACTTCTACACAATTTTCCTTACCTATATAGATATAAAATCCATCGTAGTTGTTTAAACTTTGCATATACAATCCACACATGGAATAACTAGGTATAACAAATATCAGCCATATGAATAGAGACGGAAATATATTTATAACAGTCTGGAAAAGAAAAATTAAATACGTAAAGTAAGGAAGATAACTTATTAAACAAATTAAAACATTGATTAAAGAGACTAAGGAAGGAGTATATTAAGTCTTAATTAATCATTTTTTTAAGACTTCTCAACAATCTGGCCAAAATTCAAGTTTCGACACAATATTTTTCCAGATTTATACACTTTGCATAAAACCAATTATGAAATTAACGAGAAATAATATAAAATAATCTAAGAAAAGTACAACTAACTAATGAAAATTAAAATTTATCAAAAGAAAATTAAAAAACTGATAAAAATGTGTTTTAAAATCGTTACGATTATACATCCCTTCTGTCCATTCATTGTATGAAGATAAGAGTCTTTTTTTAGTCAATTTTATTCAATGCATTCATTCAACAAACCTTTGTAAAAATATAGGTTATCCTCCCATATAGCCCATCCTTAATATCCCTTTCCACAGTTTTTCTGCTTTTCCTAACTTCGTTCAAGGTAAGGTAGAGCAGTAGAGGCCACGGAGTGAGGCACATAACGCTATAGTGATAACCTAGTCTATCGTTTAAAATTAATTGAGGATCTGTATTGGGCACGTCCCAAAATATAGCTCCCAGTATCAGAGACAGGGACGCGGAGATAATGATTAGAGTCAGCCAACTGATGAATGTGTTGGGTTGAGTGTAAATCATCGCTTTCCTAGAAAAAGAAAATCAAAATAAAATATTTACTGTCATGTCGATTTTTTTCTCTATTTTTGAAGTGACACTTCTTTACGCGCGCTGGGAGTAAAAATTCAAGGCCGTGACACACGATCTAGCGTAACGGTTTAAAAATACGTAGTGACGCGACGTGCATTTTTGAGCAGTCCACGTGTTTATCAAAAATATTGATACTTTACACGCAAAAAACTGTATTTATTAATTTTTTATTTTACGCGTATAAAACTATTTTTTACGCGTATAAAACTATTTTTTACACGTATTAAATAATTTGAAACCAGTAAAAGCTAAAGAGATCAAAGCGTTTTTGAAAATTTTCGTGGAGCAAAAAAATGATATACTCGTCATAACTAAGGAACACAGAATATTACAATAAGATTTCAATAATTTCTCTCATAATATATGGGCTATCAGCATACAGGGTGGCCCATTGAAAACGTTCCGCAAGGCATAACGGCAAGGGTAATTTTTTTTTTCAGAAAATTCAAAAACACGTCAATTTTGTTTGTGAGGGGTACAACTTTTGCCCCAAAAATGATTGCAAAATCTTCAACCGTCTGAGCGGGGGTACCATCCCCCAATTTTTTTCAAATGGGAAGGGGGGTCAAGTGGTACCTCAATAAAAAGGGCTTTCTATTATCTATACTTTCCCGCTTCGTTTCTGAAAATCGGTCGAGTCATTGAGAAAATATGAAGGATTGAAATTTATTTAAACATTTATCAGAGTAAATGATGAGGATAAATTCCTTCGACCAATTTGCTGTTTTTTGTTATTATTTCGAGATGTTTTCGCATTTTTTCACTTGCCCCAAGGTTGAACGATGGCGCGGTAGTTGCTAGATGGCTGTTCTGTGACTTGTGCGTTGAAGTTCTTCTCAATACCGTTAAACTTTTTAACAATTATGGTGTACCCACTTGCAGAAAAAGTAGAAATAATCGAACTTTATTTTAAAAATAATAAATGTGGCAATCGGGTTGCGCAGATATTCAATGAACGCCATCCTAACAAACACCTTTATGGCAAAATTGTTCGCGAGTTAGTAGCAAAATTTCGCGAAACTGGTTCCGTTATGAATAAAAAGAGGCAGAAGGAAAATCCTGTAGTAAATAAAGCTATGGAGGTATTTGTATTAGGCCAAGTTGCCAAGTACGCTGAGTACAAGAAAATTAGCCAATGAGACCGGCGTGAATCGTACAAGCGTCTAAAGGATATTAAAAAAAGTTCCACCCGTACAAAATTCAGTTGGTACAAGAACTCAACGAAGACGTTTTAAAATAAAGTAAAATAAAATTTATTTTTAAAATAAATTTCGATTATTTCCACTTTTTCTGCAAGTGAGTACACCATAGTTGTTAAAAATTTAACGATATTGAGAAAAACTTCAACGCACAAGTCACAGAACAGCTATCTCGCAACTACTGCACCTGATCGTTCAATCTTGTGGCAAGTGAAGAAATGCGAAAACATCTAGAAATAATAAGAAAAAACAGCAAATTGGTCGAAGGAATTTATCTTTATCATTTACTGTGATAAATTTTTAAATAAACTTTTCAAATTTCAATCCTTCATATTTTCTCAATGACTCGACCGATTTTCAAAAACGAAGCGGGAAAGTATAGATAATAGAAAGCCCTTTCCATTGCGGTACTACTTGACCCCCATTCCCATTTGAAAAAAATTGGGATGATACCCCCGCTCAGAGGGTTGAAGATTTTGCAATCATTTTTGAGGCAAAAGTTGTCCCCCTCACAAACAAAATTGACGTGTTTTTGGATTTTTTGAAAAAAAAAATACTCTGGCCGTTATGCCTTGCGGAACGTTTTCTATGGGCCACCCCGTATAATAACTTATTATAATTAAATAAACTTTATACTTACGTAAATAATACGAAGGCTTGTACTAAAACATTTGGACTCCTCACACTCATTGGTAAAGGAGATGGAGGTCCGGGATCACTCATCGGAGGTTGTTTTTGTCTAAAAATTTCACCTAATTGTTCTATCCTCTGAGAGGATTCTAGCATGGCTTCGGCTGACAGATCATCTAACGTAACCAAGTCCACTAAAAGAGAATCAACATTATTAAGACACTTCCTCACTGGTAAAAATTTGTCGAATAAACAGTTCGTTGCAAATATTTGGAAGTTTGAAGTACATTTTATTAATATGGATGTAAGCATTTCTGACACATATAAAACCGCGTTAATATTGAGCAAATGCAAGACCATGACACTCTTGGTCTTGCTTCTGTATTCCGGAAACTTCGGCAGTATATTCTGCAGATAAAAATAAGTAAAAAAGTTCGTATAAATGTATGTCCTAAAATGCTTACCCATACAGCACATCAAATCACATTTACGATGTGTTTACATTATTAGATGTAGACACAGGGTGACACCATTCCCCCGATGTAAATATGCTACGTTTACACATTGTAGTTCAACAAGTATGCACAAAGGTTAAATGTCCGCCTCACAATGTAGCCACAGTATAGCATTTACGTATACACAAAGTAAGGGATACACAGTGTGCCGTAGGATACACAGTACTTGTGTATTACGTTTAAACTATGTTTACACATTGCAGTTGTGACTACCGCGTGTATACGTATGTATTTTGCTTCGTATCTATTATTATCTTGTGCTAGATAAAACTACTTCTTATGAACGAATTTAGGAAATAATACAAGTTTTGATGCCTAACTTTTCGTTCTTTTTAAGAAATATTTATTCAATGATACCAATTATATCTTTTTAGAACGAAAATTAGGAAGAAAAAGTTCAAGAGAAGTAGCCTTAAAATTGTTCCATTTTTGTTTTGTATTAAATGTACCATTTTTCTTCCATAAAATGGATTAAGTGGTTAGAAAATAAAATTCTTATATTTCTTTATATCATGGAACGCAATAGCGCAAATAACACAATAATAATAATTATTTACACTGCAGAAACCAGAAGTAAGAAAACACTGTAAAAGAATAGAATTTGTATCAAAATGTATTAAAAATATAAGTACCTAGTATAACAACATACTAAAATGGTAAACACTAGTATATCGCCACAATTTGGTGGACCTCGTTTAGTCATTTTTTTCTCCTCTTTTCCCTCCAAGCAGTTGGTTATTAGCATACTCATTCATCGAGCACTCTGTTGGACTTGGACATCGAGCACTCTGTTGTATTTTACGTCACATTTTTACAAGGTGTGTACTATAGGCACAACTATAATACGAAGTATCACACATACATATGACTTATACATTGTATGTCTCATATACCGACGTCAGATTTCATCATTTTAATAATTATTTGTTACGTTACAAAAAACTCTTTAGAATCTTGAGTGCATACGGTATACAACTAGTAAACACTGTATCACACAATTCTATCAATATAAACCTGCGTGTATCTCATATGTATATGTTAGAACTAGATGAACACTTAGGTTCACTTTAACATAATGTTGTTTCTCATGTGTCTTCCTTGTAGAAACGTAATTTCATTTGGACGTGCTATATGGGTAGTTTCGGAGATACCTACAGGGTGTAGAAGTTTCATTTTTATTTCTATTTTTTCAAATAATTTCTGAAGTAAAGTCAATATTTGAATGAAAATTGATGTCTGGGAGTTTTTTAACATGAGAAATTTGATTTTGATGTCAATATGGCTCCTACTAGTAGAGGGCGCCACCTACATATTTTTTAACCGGTTTGACGAGTAATAACCTTTCGTCCGCAGCTGTATAAAACTACCGAGAAATATACATTTACGACGTTTTTTACGTAAAAAAGGTCTCTTGGTAAAAATCGCTACGAGTAATGGTTTTCGAGATATTTGGAATCAAAATTATTAATACCTGTCATCATTGACATTAATTAAACATGTTGACTAAATAGTTATTAAACTGAAATCATAAATTTGAAATATTTTTGTGCCAAAAGTTCAACAGAAACTGTTTTATCATCATTTTTTGCAGAAAAATTTATGATTAATTTAAAAAAAAATAAAAATTTTCAAATTTATTATTTCAGTGAAATAACTATCTACATTTATGGTGGGTTCATACAGCCAAATAAAATAAAATAAGAATAAAATAAAATAAAATAAGAAAGTTGGTTATATGGGATACCGTACATGCGTTCATACAGCCAAATAAAATAAGAAGTCTTTATCTTTTAACTTCTTGTTTTATGTGAAAACGGCTTTGCGCACGTTTAATTCTAACCTACAAATATTTTCAGTTTGGATTTAATTTATTTTATAATTTCACATAAGTAAAATGTATAATATAGTAGGCAACGAATAAATAAATATACTATAAATAGTAAAATTACTATAAACAATCGTAAAAGTTAACTTTTATCCAGCGTCATCGTACTGCGCATGACCAAATATATATTTCTTATTTTATTTTATTTGACTGTATGAACGCACACAAATAAGAATTCCTTATTTCTTATTTTATTTTATTCTTATTTTATTTTATTTGGCTGTATGAACTCACCTTTACTCAACGTGTTTATTTTTCGTCAATAATGACATGTATTGACTATTTCCATTCTAAATATCTTAAGAACGGTTGCTCGTAGCGATTTTTACAAAGAGATATTTTTTACGTAAAAAGTCACAGAGATTATATTTTTTCGCTTGGTAGTTTTATACAGGTACGGACAAAAAGTTATTACGCTTCAAAACAGTTAAAACACATGTAGGTGGTGCCCTCTACTAGTAGGAGTCATATTGACATCAAAATCAAATTTCTCATGTCAAAAAACTCCCAGACACCAATTTTCATCCAAATATTGACGCTACTTCAGAAATTATTTAGAATAAAACGAAATAAAAATGAAATTTCTACACCCTGTATCTCTGAAACTAAGTATTTTAAGACCTACATTTATACGAACTTTTTTATTTATTTTTATCTGGAGAATATGCTGCCGAAGTTTCCGGAATACAATTCGGACCACCCTCTATACAGGGTGAGTTTCCTACGATGTTCTCTATGGGTATCTCGGAAACTACTGGAGATAGAGAGTCGGTTAAATGGGGAAAGAATTGCAGTTTTGTGGGGTCATAAATATGCGCCTTTCAGATTTTTGAAAAAGTTCATGGCTTACTAGATATTTAGAAAAAAACAAATTTCGGCTATTTTAAAAATTGTCCCTAATTCCATTATAAGCTATTTTAGACAAAAAGTTTTCAGATAAAAGTTGTAGATAATCACATCCTTAATGAGATTGTGTCCTCCGTTTTTTCTAAAGCCTGTCATTTTTGACATTTGACACAAACATATGTTTTTTTTAAATGGAAACCATAGTTGGCCATGACTTTATAAAAAGTGCCATTTTTTAGTCTGTTCAGCGATATAAGCTATAATATGTTTTTTTTTCGAAAAATTATCGAGTTATAGCCAATACTTATCATTTTTAAATAATTTCATTTAGTTAGCCATGGAAACAATCGTCTCTTATAAATGTGAAGCTGCCACATCCAAACTTTGTAAATTAAAATAAACAAAATTGTAAATATGAATTTTTCAAATGAAGATAAGCGTGTAAGATTATTGGTTCAACTTTTCTTGACCATACATTTTCGAGGATACGTTGACCGGTGAATGTTATTTTTTTTAGAGAACGATTTTCAAGACTTGTTAGAAATGTTAAATTTAGTTATAGCCAATTCTTATCTTTCTTGACTAATTTCACTTAGATTGCATGGCATTCTTATTCTTTTGTGATTTATAACTTATAAAAAGTCAGAATATATTACTAAACGGTTCTTTAGAATTTACATTACACAAACTAAAACTTAATATCGCTGCAGTCACTGCATACACTTTAAGTTATTTTAGAAAATGTTCAAAATATCCGCCATTGTTTTGAGTTACATCTTTTTAAAACTGAATTATTACCTACTCTCACAAAAGGACCGGTTGACTTAATTAAACTTCTCTCGTACCGCCACTTCGAGTGCCTCTCTTAATTCATAAGTTCTTTTGTAAACCTTATTTTTAACCATACCGCATAAAAACATCTAAAATGGATAGGTCAGGTAATCGAGGAGGCCCATGCAATTAGTCCATCTCTTCCTATCCCTGAGTTTATATTATTATGATATCAATAATTTTTAGCATTTCTTTCATCATGCGGGGGGGGGGGCATAATGAAAGTCATTTTGGAAACACTCTATTGATGCGCGAGTATCTACACGCTTTTCTTCATTTGAGAAATTCATATTTACAATTTTTGTTTATTTTAATTTACAAAGTTTGAATGTGACAGTTTCACATTTCTGAAAGTAACGGCGATTGAACTTGTTTCCATGGTTAACTAAGTGAAATTGTTTAAAAATGATAAGAATTGGCTATAACTCAGTAATTTTTCGAAGAAAACATATTATAGCTTATATCGCTAAAAAGCTTAAAAAATGCCGCTTTTTATGAAGTCATGGCCAACTATGGTTTCCATTAAAAAAAACATATGTTTGTGTGATATGTCAAAAATGACAGGCTTTAGAAAAAAACAAAGGACACGATCTCATTAAGGATGTGATTATCTACAACTTTTATCTGAAAACTTTTTGTCTAAAATAGCTTATAATGGAATTAGGGACAATTTTTAAAATAGCCGAAATTTGTTTTTTTCAAAATATCTAGTAAGCCATGAACTTTTTCATAAATCTGAAAGGCGCATATTTATGACCCCACAAAACTGCAATTCTTTCCCCATTTAACCAACTCTCTATCTCCCGTAGTTTCCAAGATACCCATAGAGAACATCGTAGGAAACTCACCCTGTATAATAATAACATGGTTCAAATTCATTCAAAAATAAGAAATAATTAGACGATTTTTTAATTACCCTCAAATTTTCATTCAAATCGCTAAAAGCACTTTGAAGAAGATTATTATAAATCGAAAAAAAATAAGATTTTAACCCCCTGTAGCTATGAAACAAAGCAGAATCGGACCTAAGTTAATATAAAAAATAATCTTATTTTTACATGAGGAATCTCCCCACGGGAGATGGCACATGTTTTTTGAAACACCCTGTATAATAAATAACAATTAGATTGTATAACAACTTACGGTAATAATCCGAAGGATTTTTGTAATTCGGACACGGGTAATCGACTAAAGCAAAATATGGCAACATGTCTCTTCTGCGTCCGCTGAACATGGTCCTGCCCGCAGAAATCAGCAGTATTCTCGACAGCATCGTGAATATTTCGTAGGTAGGAGGATGCAAGGTTAGGAGTACTATCCTGCCCATCGAATTACCACCTACACCACCATTAGCCCACTGTCGCAAGTACCTTTAAATATTTATCAGAAATTTAATTACATAGAAACTTAATTATTAAAAAAAAGAGTAATATCACAGCTTATTCATCACCAGCCGGTCGATTTTTGAATAGAAATCTTATATTATACCAGTGGCGCATCCAGAGATGAGTCCGGGAAGGGTAGTGGCAATATTTAAATAAAATAATAGATTTAAATCAAATTTTCGCTCAAAGGTATTGTGACTATATGGAAAAAAATAAACTTAGATTTTTTTAGATTTCTATTTTGATTGACATTATTAATTCATTTTGTGACAATTTTATTTTATACCAGATTTTCTTATTTATACATTTCTTCTTGGGAGGGGTAATTACCCCCATTACCCCTCTCGTATATGCGCCTTTGATATATACTGGGTGTTTTTCAAAAAAAAAGTGGCTCACTCTTATAACTTTTTTATTTTTTCAGATAAAAAAACGAGATTTTGTACTTTAGTATAAGACATAAATCAGGATTGATTGACGTATTCAATTACTTTCGGTCATTTCCTGCTTTACCGGAATTGACTACAACTTTTGGATTTTAAATGGTACCCTCGGTATTTTTTTGCTTTATTCGATAGAAAATGACACTTTGAATAGAATGGCATATCATATGTCAACTTTTGACATTTATGCTTAAAAAATCGTATTTTAAATTTCAATCTAGAGTGTTAAAAACACTAATTTTTAATCAAGGAGCCTTGAAAAAATAGATTTGATCGTCTAATGTTTTTCGTGTCTTGTCCTGGCCGGTTAAAAAATGCCCAACTCGTATTTTTAATCATATCTCAATTTTTTAAAACAGAACGACGGTGGCTCATTAGCATATTTGAAAAAAGCATTTTTTATGAATAATTTGGTACCACACACTTGGTATTTCGAGTCAAATTTTCGTTATGAACCGCATATTACAGTTTCAAATAAACCATATGCAAAAATGTCAAAAGTTGACATATGATATTTCTTCATTCTTCTGTTGTCATTTTCTATCGAATAAAGTAAAAAAATACCGAGTAAACCCGATATATTTGCCGTCAGAAATAATTCAGATTGTTTACTTTAAAAAAAATGGAGACCGCCGACAGATATACTGTCTAATTCCTATTTGTATACTATCACAACTTACTCTACTAGGAAGAATGTATCAAAAATATCCATCCCTCTTGTAGGTTGGTCTAAAACTACCACGTCAGTGTCTTGTAACAAATGACAAGCTACATTCAACCTTCGTCTTTCCGAAATGGTCATAGACGACACTCTGGTATTCCTAACTTGTTCTAAACCCAATTCTTCTATCAAAAGGTTGATCTAGAATAAACCAAACTATTACTAATATCACCCTTGGGGTTATTACAATGATTTCATGTTTATTATGTATTTATACCTTTTTTGAATTTTTATTTGAAGCAAATGATATAAAAAATAGAAATAACTTACTCTATCAGTAGAATCTATCTTAAGATATCCTAGTTTTTCGGTTGGTTTTTTCAAATCATAATGGAACCTCATAATTTGAACTGCTGTCATATCTTTGCACAAGTTTGGATCACTTTGGGCATATGCCACTCTTTTTCTCAGCGATTCTTTTTGAACCCTTTGTCCGTTCAACAAAATCTAAAAAGTAACAAACATATTTAGTAAATTGTGACGATAATAATGATCTTTATCAGGAAGCTAAGAACATTTTAAGAAAAAATAATTACTTCTCCTTGAGCAGGTCTTCTTCTGCCGGCTACCATATCCAAAATGGCCGTACCTTCCTGCTCTGACGTAGCCATCACTGCCAATACGTCACCTCCTCTAGCTTCAAAAGAGACCTCACTGAGCAGGAGGTGGTTCCTCGATGCAAAACATGACGAGGAAGATGAAGGCCATAGGCTTGCTTGGTTAACCTAAATAAAATAATGTTTATTTTTTGTAACTACTGAGAAATAAGAAAATAAAAGACTAGAGTTCACTACTATAGGCTTGGTGCATTCTCCGCCGGTGCTGCCACCATCGGAGAATATCGTAAACAACTGGTATACAGGGTGTGCCAGTAGTCTAAGAGCTGGCTACATAAAAAAACCTTATTATCGTTACATGGCTAATTTTTTGTGTGAAGTATCCTTTTGTGTAGCCATTATGAAATAGTCATGTCTGCCAGCGCGATCCCGGGGCTTAAAGCGTGGGCGGCCAATCGAAAGAGGCATGAAATTTTAAAAATTATTAAAAAATTAAATTTGAAAAATGAAAAAATGATGGCATAATTGCATGCCGATTGGTGAAATGTCATATTTATTTATTTTAAAAGCCGTATGCAAAAGGGCAGACAAAAAGATCGTGACTCAATCAGCTGCAGACAGTTATACAGTACGTTTGTCCGTTCTGTAGCTACGGGGTATCCGTGAGAGGGGAAACGATATTCTCTTGATGTTTTTTTCTCTCTTTCTGCCGCAGAGAGCGCTGCGGTCTGAATTTTTTGAAATCAACTGGAAATGCACCAAACCTACACCCCAAAATACTTACTTGTAAGTGAGGGTATATGAACCCTGGACCACTGTCATCCTCTTGAGCAATATAGTCTGTCCTAATGATTGAAGGACCCTTTCTTGAAGCTGGCATGGAAAACTGGCTTTCTGCTTTGGACATTGGCCGGCTCATATGACTAATGACACTGAAATGTTAAATTTTGTGTAACCAACAAATTGAGTAACCATACAGAGGCAGTGTTTAGGCAACCTCATAGAAAATAGAGATACAATTTAGGCGCCAGTACTTATTATTTATAGATATAAATGTACCTATGATCTATGTCGTGGTGTATGACGTGGTGACCGTGGTGTCCAAATTCAGCAATGCTGTTCCTTCTGGGGTCCCTTAAATGAGCGGGGGTCAGCCCAGGTGGGTGGTACGGTCTGTTATATTCGCTGGCTAGGAGATTGGCTTCTGATACGCTTTTGTTTCTGTTCCACTGGCCTCCTACTGAGGGTCTGATGCCTCCCTGGTGCATGGCGGCCAATGGTAATGGAGAATGCAATTCCTGTAAGAAAATCATAGTCTTTTAAAATCAATTAATATACCGGGTGCGTCTTAAAAGTGTCTCAAACTCCTATAACTTTTTTATTTTTTTCAAAAAATAACGAGATTTGCTATGTTAGTATATGACATAAATTAGGATTGATGACGTATTCAATTGTTTTTGGTCACTTCCTGTTTCACCGGAAATGACTACAAATTTTGATTTTTAAATGGCATCCTCGGTATATTTTTACTTTATTCGATAGAAAATGACACTCTGAACAGAATGACATATCATACACACTGCTTATCATCTCAAAGCACAGTATAAACTTTGGTGTTGTAATTCAGCACACACTGTAATATTTTAAAAAATTAGTCTAACCCTAATTAAAATATATAAAATTTACGGAGCTTAAATAAAAAACATATTATTAGTACTAATAAAAATGTAAAAACACTAATAAAACTTAACAATTTTATTCAGTTTTTTTGCAACTCAATTACATTTTTAATGCTTTAATAATACGAAATAAATTATCTTTGCCAGAAAAAAAGTAGGACAATTTTCAAACCAATTTCAAATTGATTTCGACTTTTTATGTTCTTTTGTGTCGGTTAAATAGGGCCTTATTCGATAAATCAACGAGAGTAGTTTGTTATTGAGCGGGGTGATGCATGACCACACATTTTTAAACCACCTGTATGGTTAATGTGGCGGAAAATAGCCCTATTATCGAATAAATTCCATAGACTACATTGTATCATACAGTTTATGTTTCAATCATACCGTATAATCGAAAAAAAAACGGCGTCAAAGAGGGCTGGGGAATCACAATAATTGATGATCAAATTGGAGAGGTCTAGATAGTAATTGACATAAAATTTGTCAAAAATTAACAGTAATTAGAGGAAGATTAAAAAAGGATAGAACCGTTTCCCGACACACAAATTCATTTCCAAAAATATATTTTTTCTCGAATTTTAAACTACACCATTTTTATTAAATATAAAATAAATTACAACCTTCTTAAGACCAACTGACAGGAAGTAAATAATAAAGAAGAGTACTGGCCAACTAAATGATGTCTAGAGATTGACCTCGCTAAAATTTTCATCGATTGTCATTCCCCAGCCGTCTTTGACGCCGTTTTTTTTTCGATCGTATGGTACTTCATCATAACAATATTAATTCCAATTATACACCTGAATAGTTACATTGTACTGCTTAGTGTCGACACAGTAACAACTTTAATCATACTAAATGGCTAATTAGGGTGAGAGAAATGGTAAAAGGGTGCAGCTTACCTCCTGATGATGGTAGGAAGGATGGGTTGGCTGCATGCGGAAGTCCGGGTCCGATCTGTATTTCCGGTTTTGCTTGTACTGATTCGACGTCTCGTTGTCACTGCTGTCATATCCGGACGATCCTTCCCTGGGTCCCCTGCTGCCCAATTTCTGACCCCTGAAAGGTCTTTCATTACAGTTGGTAAAGTTACATGATATGGGATTATTTTTAGTTCGCTTTGGATGAATTTTAACTTCGATTATAGTTTTTGCCTTGAATTTGATCATTAACCTGTTGCTCTAAAATTTAATTTTATTAAATTCATTTCTAATATTTTACATTTCAAAATATGATGTGGGAAATAAGATATAAAATGGGTTTCATGGTCGAATTATTTGAAAAAGTTTCTTTTTAAGTTTTTCACGACTCTACCAGCTTTCAGGCAACTAGATGAAATCTGTTTTTAACGTTTTAAAGCAGTAGCAGCTGTTTCTCGAAGCAGAAGCAAAAGTAACTGATGGTAATTCGTTTATCAGTAGGTTTGTTCCAACCAGCATTTCGGGATCGTTTCGAAATCGTACTCGAATCGGTTTTCTTGCACTTTATTAGCATGCGCGGACTTCGAACAGTTTCGTGACGGTGCAAAAAGTATTGGAACACTTTGTGGATTGTTTTCGGGACTGTCAAAAGTGTTAAACGTGCGTGTATCGATCGGTTTTTTTGTTTAGAATTTCATAACATAACCCTATTATTTTTGTTTGCAATTTGCAATAATAATAATTATTATTCTTGAAATGGACAATCAGAATCCAGTAATTGTTGGTAAGTGTTGTTTCAACTGTATACTCACTAACTCACTTACCTATCCTCTCTTTTATGATCCTGTTATGCGTAGTTTCCTGTTATTTCATTGCAGTGGTAGAATATTTGAACATTATTTTATAAATAAAAAATTAATTAAAATTTCCGAACGATTTACTCCACACAAACTCACTCATTCGAATTCGTAAAAAATAACCAAGGCAGAAGCATCAGCCGGACGCCGGACCAGAATCAGCTGTTAAAAATCGATAATCCCTGCCAATATGCTTTAATGCGCAAGTCAACCCAAACAGTTCTCAATTTGGACCATGTACCAAAATTACCGTTCTGAAATCGTAACTACACGATCCCAAGGTAAGTTGGTACGCAAATAGGATCGTCCGATAACTGTCAAATCTTTGTTGGAACACATCTGAATTACTGCGCACGAGCGTAATCGTTGGATGCCAGTTCTGCGGCGGGTTGGAACAAACCTAGTCAAATATTTCTCTATTGACAGAGACTGGTTTATCCGTCAAACTTTATCATTTCTTATACAAAAAATGCCGAAAAGTGCCCTTATTATACAAACTTTTTATATATTTTATTTATTTAATACAAATTTTATCACTCTACGTTCATTTCTACTCAACTTACTTACAAATACTTTGACAAGTCCCTGGGTACGTCTCAAAAAGTGGTTCACCCCTATAACTTTTTTATTTTTTCAGATAAAAAAACAAGATTTGGTATGTTAGTATATGATATAAATTAGGATTGACTGACGTATTCAATTGTTTTTCATCACTTCCTGTTTCACCTTCCTGTTTACTTCAATTTTTGATTTTTAAACGGCACCCCCGGTATATTTCTACTTTATTCGATAGAAAATGACACTCTGAATAGAAGGACATATTAGCTTTGTTCGGGTTCTTGTTATTATCGATTCTGAACCGTCCTAGAACTGTGATGCGTATGCGCAGAAGGAAATATGAAGACATTATTTTATTTGCGCATGCGCTGCAGAGTTCTAGGACGGTTCAGAATCGGTAATAACAAGAACCCGAAAAAAGCTAATACATATCATATGTCAATTTTAGACATTTTTGTATATGGTTTATTTAAAATTGTAACATGCGGTTCATATCGACAATTTGACTCAAAATACCAAGTGATATCAATATATTCGTAAAAAAATGTTTTTTCCAAATATGCTAAAGAGCCACCCTTGTTCCATTTGAAAAAATTGAGATATGATTCAAAATACGATTTGGGCATCTTTTAACCGGCCAGGACAAGACACGAAAAACATGTCAAAAGTTGACATATGATACGTCATTCTATTCAGAGTGTCATTTTCTATCGAATAAAGTAGAAATACACTGAGAGTGCCATTGAAAAATCAAAACTTGCAGTCATTTCCGGTGAAACAGGAAGTGACCAAAAACAATTGAATACTTCAATCAATCCTAATTTATGTCATATACTAACATACCAAATATTGTTTTTCTATCTGAAAAAATAAAAAAGTTATAGGGGTGAGCCACTTTCGAGACGCACCCGGTATATTAATTTATGTATGGATTTAAAAATTATTTAGTATTACTTAATCTAAAACATTAATTAACAGGTATTTTTGTAGTAACAAGTACCTACACCTACTCATCGAAGAATAATAAAACAATTTTGTTCAGTTAATATACAGGGACTGGTAAAAAATTTTCAAAAAATTGTCAAAAATATAAATTAAAATAAATTAACAAAAAAATTGGCAGGTAGATAAAACATGTGAAATTAATATTTACAAAAATATATTTTTATTCCAAATCAAACAACGTAATAGAGCTGGATTCAAAATTGAACTATTGTTGACACAAAAGGTATCGCAACATCGTTGTTTACACGTAGAATTATATCGTTAAAGGTCACGTTAACACAACACTACTAAGCAAACCTTACATCACGTACTGAAAAATTGTACAGTCCTCTAATTACATTAACATCGTGTTTTGTCTTCTTGCTGGAGTCACGCACTATCTATTGTTTTAATTACGTATTTGGTACTGGGTACCACTTGCTCATTGTTCTGCGATTAACAATGCAATCGTTAGTTTTTCTGTCGTAGGTTTAATTCTTTTTCTTTTTAATGCTTGTTCTTGTTTATGCAACATACTAGTGTTTGTTTTAATCAGTTGCAGTGACCAGATTTTGAGTCAACCAACGTAGGAGCGACAAAAAAATTCAAGAACCATATTGAGGCAAGAACCATATTGAGACATCACGTATCGGGCTTTTCAGTCACAGAAAAGCTCATGAAAGTTAACGCCTTGAGTAGCCAATCTTCTCATATACTCGTCAGTGAGTAATTGCAGTAGTAGTAGTTATAAAAACTATAGTGTGATGTCACAGAATATTTGCTAGCCCTTAGACTATAAATGTAAATAAAAAAAACTAATACAAACCTTGTTTGTGGTCTCGTAGAAGCATTTCTTATAAAATGTTGAGGAGTACCACGTCCAGATCGATTGGAACTATTGTGGTTTGGTGGAAAGACCCGTGGTAACCCAAATTTTAAATAGGTATACATGTTAGACCCCAGAGCTGACCTAAAAATTACAAAAAATAATTAGGTCTCATAACTTTTCATTTTCAGTATCAGTTAAGTCGAAGTGTTAAATTTATCCATAAAAAATAAATAGCAAGTCTCACTTTGGTCCATATCTGGGATGGCTTAAAATTGATTGCACTGTCGTGTCCCTAAGTTGGAAATTGCCATAAGGCAATGGACTCTTGTCAGTGGATCCCAAGGCACTGTCCGTAAAGTCAGAATTCAAATTTTGTCTGAAATTTCAAAAAAAAAATCGTCAAAGTAATATAAATAACAATGAAAAACTTCAAATATATTCTTTAAGCCCCGTTTATACAGGTAAAACGTTAAGTATAGAGGAAGCATTATTATTATTTTTTTCATTACCCTGGAATTTTTTCACAGAAATAGTTATTATTGACGATGAATCAACCAATTTACAGCTTACCTGTAAATAGACCAGGCGTGTAAATCTTCAGAAGCAGATGCCGAAAATGCCCGAGAATCCGGATTGGATGGTACCGAGTACTTGCGTTCCATTTCAAAGCCTTGCGAGCCCCCTCCTTGAGAGGGCGTACGACTTCTCACCATTTTTGAGGCCCTGAAGTCGATGTTCTGTTATCCGATATCTGTAAAAAAAATAAAAAATTGTCATTGTGATTAACAATTAACTGAAATAACTAAAAAGACTAAAGCTTTGTTCTCATACACTGATAAAAAAAGACTTGAACTAAAGTCGTCATCGTTCTTGAAAAAAAATTTAGTGGCAAGAGAATTTATTTTAGTGTAAAAGAAAATATTTTGCCTGAAGAAAAACTCTCTTAACTCAAGAAAACTGGGTCTCTTGAAAAATTCGAAAATTTCTCTTGAATCTATTTTCATTCAACCAAGTGCAAGTTACTTTGTTTTAAGATAATAAGAAAAATACGCTAGGAATTACTTCATTCAAACAATGTGGCCATTTTTCCAATAGCTAAATACTCTTTTGATGAAAAATGATAACGACACGCAAAGATGATGACGAAGGACGGTATATACAATCAGTCGGCAGTTCGATCAGTCGTACGTCGTACGTCGCATTTCATAGGTCGCACATCATAGTACGCACGGGTTTTGTTGCTTGGAATTTTGCATAATTTGCTTTTTAAGCGCATATCGTATAACAAATTAGTGATCGTTATTAACATGCATTTGTCATTTTTTATGGACAAATTTTAGGATATATGGATTCTTTAAAGGAGTTTCTGAAAAACATGGCAATTAGAGCATTTATTTGCTATATTTGAAGGTAAGAGACATTTACCTAATGCACCTATTTAGATAATGCATGCGTGACTATAGATAGAATAAGAATAATATATAAGCAAATAATTACAAAAATTTTAGAATTTCAAGTCGTATTAAAAAACTCAAAATGTGACTAAAGCTTATAATTTTAATAATTTATTTGCTTTACTTTGATTAATCGTGATGTAACATTTTTTTGTAATTTGTAGAGTGATGAACCACCCCAAAGAATACCAAGGAGTGAAGAAGCAGAAATAACTACTATCGAGGAAAATAATATCCCTTTACTTACTACAGACCAGGAAAACCTAAATTTATCAGAAAATAATATACCTCGTAATATGCCTGTATATGATGTATAGACTTCTCTTAGATCAAAATAAATTTTAGTTGAGTCAATAGTATTCGCTATTGGTTTAAGAAAAGTGTCTCTTTAATCAAGAAATGTCCCTTTTCAATCAAGAATTTTTGCATGAATCAAAGAGACTATTGTTCTTGTAGCAAGAACTTCTTTGCATATTCATCTTGGGTCAAGAGTGAAATACTTTGGACAGATAGATTCTCTAAAGTAATTTTTTAAAGCTTATGAAAAGATAGTTAATGCTTTAGGCAAAGAAACGTCGTTCTTGGCCCTATTGAAAAGCGCCAATCTTTTGGATCAAAGTCATTTTCATTTCGACTGAGAGATCCTTTTTTTCAGTGCAAGACCAAATATTGCACAAAATCGAACATTTAAAAAACGCGTATCTACTCGTATGTTACAAAAATGCATATAAGTCCACGCATCAACCGATAACCGGTAGCAATTTCTACGTTCTAAATACACACGGAGGCCTTGAGATATCACTTTTGGCGTCGTATGGTACTAAATATCGCTTGATTCAATTCTCGTTTTGGACTGGAAATAATGGCCATAATTAAAATGCCAGTTGAGAAAGTCAAAATACACTCGTTAGCTGCTTCGCTATATTGTCGTCATTATTATTGTTCGGTCTCATTACTATAAGCGGTGACATTTTTCTTTCCAATTCCATTATTTATGTCACTTTTACTCGTTTGTTAACCGTAGCTTCGATGCTATTTTCTTCTTTTTGCGGATTTGGTTTACTTTAATCAGCTGGATTCGTATGAAGACAGAAAGTATAATATACAATACACTTGTTATACCTATTATACAGCGTGTCCCATAAATAAGTGCAAGTATTTTAACTGGTAATATAGTTTAAACCCAGAAACAAACCTATGAGGTTTTTTTGCAAAAAAAAAAAATTGATAATAAGAATTTTTTTAAAAAATTTTTTGGATTTTTTTTAAATTTTTAGTTAAAAAACATAATTTCTTGATAATATGGCAACATAGGCAGGGCCCCCCGAAATTATGGCCGAAAATTTTTAAAAAGTAATGATCATTAAGTAAGTAAGAACGAAACAAAAAAGAAGAAGAAGAAGATGGATGAATATCAATGACTAAAGAATACAAGGACATGTAACGCCCATATACGGGCTGCAGCAGAATTTGTGACCTTAGACGCCAACTTTTTAGACATAACGAATGAATCATCAGCTGGTCATCAGCGACAATTTTGGCGATTTTTAATAGTTGGTTGTGTGTAGTGAACTTTGTATAAACTTTATTACAATGGTAATTTGTTCAGCTTTCAAGTGTAAAAGGCGCAATGATAAGAAAGAGCCAGAAGTTACGTTTTATAGGGAAATAAACAGTCCCCTACACCTTTTTAGCGTTTTTTTTTATTGAATTCGATAATTATTTTTCTGATATTATATGTACTTGATATGTACTATACGTCGATACTAGTTATGTACCTTTTGTTAACATTTTAATACGTTTTTTTTCGTAATTAATTAGTATGATACCACCCGATACACCATAGGCGTAGTGAAAACATATAATATCAAAAATATAAATATCCCTTCAAGCGGCAATGTTAAGTAAAATATGTGCCACGGCACTGTTTGGAAGAATGGTCACAGTTTGGTCTCGGGTGCTATTTGTCCTTGTATTTTTTAGTCATTGATGAATATACATTATACACCCTAACCTCACTTTTCCACTTTGAAAGCAAATGTTATTTTCGATTTTCGACTTTCAACATTCAAGTGTTTAAAACAGCAAAAAGACAAGGACAAGATTTTGAATGTTGTGTGTGTTTGCTGGTCATTAACGTGATTAATGTTTGTTATTGTTCTGCTATTAGACAAAGAATTCTTGGGCTATGACACTTTAGCGGCAGAACTAGACTTGTGGCGGCAAAAATGGAAGCAGCTACCTGCAGTCGACCGACCTAAAAACGCCATCGAAACGATAATCGGACTGTAACCAGTGTATATTTCCAAATATATACATTTTATTAATGATCCTAGCAACTCTACCAGCGTCAACAGCTACACCAGAAAGGTCTTTTTCAACCCTAATGCCGCAACCGCGCATGCGGTATTCGGCGATCTCCGATCGGGGCTTCGCCGATTTCCTATGTGTGTGGATGAGGAAGTCGGAGTTCGGCGACTCGATCGGCTACGAGAACGAGCGCTCATCTCTATGTTGTTGCTATCAGAGCCCGCATGTGTAGATGGAAAGGCGAAGTCCGATCACGAGCGTTCGGTAGTTGACGAGCCCTAGGAGTTCGCTAAATGCCGCATGTGCGGTTGCGGCATAAGACGATTGAAGGACTTCCTACGTAACTCTACAGGTCAGGAGCGATTGACAGGACTTGCTCTATTAAGCGTACATAGAGAAATAAATATCGATATCGAAGAGGTAGTCAATCGTTTTTCCAGGGAAAAGACCAGTTTATCCTTTAAGATTAATAATTTTTACCTGTTACTTTTTTAAAATTTTATTTTCAATTAAGATTTGAGTGTAGCCCAAAGCGATTTTTTTATTATGATTTTTTCCTAGCAGCTTTTTTCCTAGCAACAAGGAAAATCCAGAAAAGATTCAGTGGTTCTCAAAATTTTAGCAAAAATAGTTTTTTTTAAATTTTCTGAATTTGGACTTATTTGAAAAACGATAAAGAGAAAATATGTTTCTTTTATCGAGATCTACCACCCCTTAAAATACTTGCATTTATTTCTGGGACACCTTGTATAAGTTACGGCTAAATGTTAAATGGATACTTAGCTAGTTTTAAAACTAACCAGCTACTTTGCAGACTAACTAAAAGCGCTGTTATTTTGAAGGAATCCACCTATTCTTGCAAAATAGCGGACAACCACAGCTAGTTTACATTCTAACTGGTTAGTATGCAAACTATTTACAAAATCTGGTTAAGATGGGGATTTTACCTTAGTTTACTAAAATAGCCGCTAGTTTACATACTTACCAGATGGTTTGCAAACTTTATTTTAATTGTTTTTGTTTATTAATGTTATAGTTGGGTGGAACCTTTGGTGTTACACAGCAAAATGAAACACTAAATCACCACAATACACCAAAACACTTTTACTTTTACACTGGACACGCGTTTCGCTAACCATGTTAGCATCAGCAGCAGATAATCAAGACTCAAAATATTTTGAAGTGAAAAGTAAAAGTGTTTTGGTGTATTGTGGTGATTTAGTGTATTATTTTGTTGTTAATGTACCTACAGTGGGTAGGATAAGAAAAAATAATAAATTTAATTTTCATTTAAAAAAATATTCATAAAAAAGAAATTTTAACAAATGTTAAACACAAACTGTATAGTACATAATGAAATTTATAGCGGGAAACTCTATTGTACATTAAAAAATAACACTCCTAGTTTCCAAAGCTTATAGTTAATTTTAAGGCAATTTCATAAATGATCGGTTTACTACACGTATGTACCGTATGATCGAAAAAAATGGCGTCCAGTTGGCTTGGAAATGACGATCGATGACATTTCCAATATAATTTTACATATAAAATGACAGCGATCTTCATTTCATAGCCATCGCTGACGCCGTTTTTATTCGATCATACGGTATAATGTATATTATAAGTCAGTTACTAGCGAAAAGTTATTCCATTTTTTCCGTCGATTTTTGACCGAGATCTACCGCACTCTACATAATCAAACAATTTTACAGATCAACTATTTTACAGTTTTTTTTTTATAGATCGTAATAGTGTTACTGTTAATTTAAGTTCTGCCACAATTTCCATCTAAAAAATGTCTATACCTATGTGGCGGATTCATCTATCCAAAAAAATCCTTAATAGGTATTTCGCCACTGTACTGCAAGAAAAATGCTGCTTGTCAGAAGTTGTGTTTACAGTAATAAAAATTTGCCTAACAAAGAAAAAAATGCTTAACGTTTCGGAAAGTTTTCTCTTTCCGTCGTCGGAAGCAAAAAAATATAAA